GGAGCAAGAATTTGTCCTTGAACCTAATCATTGTCAATTGTAATAGAAGAAATATATTCATATTCTTCATTCAAGATAAAATCATTAACTTTATAATCCTATTTCCCCCCGCAAACTCTACATCCTCAAAGAATCGAGCATTTCCCATTTGAAAACTGACTAATAGTGGAATCTTTAAAAATTTGTAATCTCTTAAAAATTGTTTTACTTAGTACTGTGTTGAGAATTTAAGCTGCAGTCTTTAGTGCTTCTACCTAGAAAGATCCTAATGTACTGTGGAATGATTCAACATTCCTCTAGGAATTTAGCAAAAAGCCATGGACGTTGTTCCCCTGATCCTTCATATCTATCATAGTATTCACCACTATGATAAGATCTGATTTGTTAAATTCTTTTACTGAATTGATTTACAATCTAAATCTTTTATTGCCTTGAACATGTCTAGTGTTTGAAATTTCTCATAAATGAGATATAGGTAGCCATAGTGATAAAAATTCATCTATGAGCGTAATAAATGATTCTTGACCATTCCAAGAATCCAAAGGGAATGGTCCACAGATATTCGTAGGAATTAGTTCCTAGACGTCCGAAGTCCTATAGCACCTAATCTCCTTATGTTTGTTTGTTTTCCCTTCTTGCAATTTACACAAACTTAAGTCTGAAAAATCAACGGAATCAAGAATTAATTCTGATACAAGTTTTTTTTTATTCTCTTTTGAGAGAAGTGACCTGATCGTTTGTACCAAAACAAAGGAGAATTCTCATTGGTTAATTTATGTTTAATGCCACGCGGATTCACATACAAGATTTTTTTATAAGAAACAACCGTATTAAGTAAATATAGGCTATCATAATAGATAAAGAACTGGTACCCACAATATTTGAATTAAGAAAAAGATCAAATCGACTATTTCAAATTCAACAAGAGTAACCAAATTTGTCAAATGTAGAAATAGAAACCAAATTACGTCCCAAAAAAAAAAATAATAAATAAAGACGGTACCGCAAATGTCTCTTTCAAGTCTAAATAATAACCAGTCTTTAATGATAACTCAAAAAACCCTTATATCCTTAATCTTAACTGATTTGCCATCACTCCCACATAGATGAATCTTTCGACATCAATTGGTTTTGGCAACTCAGACAACCCCGCATAGACACAGTTATGTAGTGGTACTGAAATTTATCCACCAATTGTGTCTAGGTATTGACACTAAATTTACCTCAAAACAAACCAAAGTGAGAAGTATACTTTTATTTATACACCAAACATGTTATATTTAGTACAGTCTCTCTTTATATTTCCTAAATTTTTACAAAATTTATAGCTAAATTTATTTCGCTGTTTATTTTGAACCGAATATGATGTAGCTTTCTTATTCTTCTTTTCTTGAACGTGTCCTTAGAAATACTAGCTAAGTGAACACTTTCAATCCTTTCTTGCTTCATCATTTCTTCTTCTTGCCCACGGTATGAAATGAGCTCATTTAGAGTCCACTTCTCCCTTTGACAGTTATAACTGACCTTGAATTGTGCAGGAGGAGAAATTAAAATCAGATGCATGAGC